TGTAGCAGAGTAAGCTTCAAAAGCCCTTTCGAGATTCTTAGTCAAGTCAGCCTCACCGCCCTGCATAATCTTTCTAAAGCGCTAACATCTTTCTTTACTTTCGATTGGGAAATGAAAATGAAAGAGAAATCTCCTCTCCCTACTTACTCCAGAACCAGAACTGATATTACCTAACCAGATTGAACATGAACGAGGTTACAATGAGAATGGCAGAAGAAGAAGAAGATATTCCTTTACATGAGAGGAAATTCATTTCTTTCAGAATCTAATTCAACATTCATTCTCTTTCTCCTTTCTTGAAAAGTAAACTCCTGAACCTTCAAACACGAGGTAAAGCTAGAAGAAGAACCGAAACCTTTACAGGAGAGAAGAAGAAAATGAAAGATTAATGATCGTTTGTTTACCTTTCTAAATCATAAGGAGAAAGACGAAAGAAGCATTATTTATCCGGAACAATGATAGGGAGAAAAAAATGAAAGATGAATGAGGCTGAACAGTAAGAAAAGAATAGAAATGAAATTTGACAGTTGTAAATGAATGAAACAAGAATTAATGAGAAAGAACAGGAAGTCAAGACTCAACTTCTTATTCATGAGCCAGAACCAGAAGGAAAGAAAGATCAGCTCCTTCCCCTTCACTTCTACAACTCGGTTGAACAATTCCATTGCCTGCCCCGATATTCCCTTTCTAGTCGGTAAACTCATGAACTACTTCACTCCTCTCCCTACCGATCGAGCTATTTCACTCCTCTCCCTTTTAGGCCATTGAACTAGGGTAAGCCGCTTCTCTCCTTCACAGTCAGTCTCGACTCAACCTTAACTCCTTTCTTTCTTTCTTGCTTTTCTTGCTTGCTTTCACTCTTTGACGGACTCTCTAGTAAAGCAGCTGGCTTCTCTCCTGCACCTATTTATTCTTGAACAGCTCTTGATTCTTTCTTTCTTGCTGGCTGGCTTGCTTGAACTTCTTTTATTCAAGACTCAACTCAAGATTAATGAGAGTTCACTGTCAGTCAATCCTCAACATTCTTTCTCGTTCACTGTCAGTCAAGACTCAACACTCCTTATTCATGATCGTTCACTATTAGTCAATCCTCAACTCTCGATGAATTCTCCTGTAAACACTCTCGATTCATTCGACTCAACCTCAACCCTTCCCCTCTCAATTCATTCAACTGTAAAGACTGCTTATTCATTCTCGTTCACTGTCAGACTCAACCTCAAGCTCCTTCTCCTATTTCTTTCTTCATTCTCCTTTAAAGACCATTGATTATGAAATTGACGTTTTCCCTTTTTGGGCTATTTTTTAGGTAATGTTAAAGGAAAGAGACTGAACTCCCATCCCAGATTGAACAAGAGAAAGACTCAAGATTCCTTCTCCTTCATCGTAACCTTCTTTCACTCAGTCTTTCTTCGCTCCTTCTTTATTCTTGAACTGTAAACAAGGGAAACTCCTTCTATCCTCCCCCTATTTTTAGGTCATTTTACTCTATTTCTTCTCATCAAATGAAAGATGAATGAGACGGAACAGAACAGGACTATTACTTCTTCACCGGAACCTGACGAGAAAGAAAGAGAATCTACTGAACCGGAACCTGAACCTGATTTCACTCCTTTTTACAGTGTTTGAAGGGATATTAAATGAATTAGCTGCTTTTCAAGACTCAACCTCAAACAAAACCTGAACCTGAACCGGAAGTCAATCCTCAACTCAAGATTCGTTATCCTATAAAGACCATGAATTCTCAAATTCTATCTTCTGTCTATTTTTTTGGCTATTGAACTTTTTCACTCACAGCAGCTGCTTCAATTAATTCTTGTTGATGCTTTACGACTGTAAAGTGTCGTAAGAGCTTTTTTTTCACTCACAGCTGCATAGGAAATTAATTCATTTTTATGCTAGACGACTGTAAAGTGTCGTAAGAGCTTTTTCACTCACAGCAGCTGCTTCCATTAATTCTTTTTTATGCTAGACGACTGTAAAGTGTCATAAGAGCTTTTTCACTCACAGCTGCAGCTTCAATAAATTCAATTTACGTTTTCCCGAGATTTTGGGCTATTTTTTGCTAGAGGTAATTAATAAGGAAAGAGACTGAACTCAATCACTTGCGGCTTCTTGCTTTCACTCGGTAAACCCCTGAACTACAGAAAGGATGTTCGTTAAACTACTTGACCTTCCCCTATTTATTCACTGTAAAAGATCAATACTCAAGATTCATTCTTTCTCTGAACCTTCAAAGACTCTTTTTTCTTTAAAGACCATAAAGAAATAAAAGCTATCCTTCCCTTATTTTTTGGGATAAAATCCCTATTTTTGAGTGTAAAGACCTTTCATTCTATTTTCCTATCCTCTGTCTATTTTTTTGGCTATTTTTGGCTATAGGTAATTTCTTATTAAGTCAAGAGAAAACCTTAAACCTTTGCCTGATTGAACTCAAACACTCGGTAAATAGGTTCAGTAGCTCTTTGCTTTCCTTTGATTCTGCTTGAAAGACTCCACCTACTTATTAATGAGAGTGAACTCTGGTCCGGAACCTATTGATTATTTTAGGAGGTAAAACTGCTAATTCATTTACTTACTCTACCTTCACTGTAAAAGAGAGAGTCAGTCAGTCAGTCAGAATGTATTTGTTTGTCTCGAGCTTCTTTCACTCGGTAAACTGGAGGATGATTCAAACACTCTTTTACTCGACAGTAAGAAAAGAAGAAGAAAGAAGAATGAGATTGAACTACTGATTGAATGAGGTTTGTTCTCTTAGCTTTCCTTTGATTCTGCTTGAAAGACGAAACGAAGGATTCCTGAGACTGAACTGTTAGGAAAGACTCAACATTCTTGATCTTCTCTTTCTTTCACTCTTTCGCTCCTTTTCTTTTCCGATATTACCTTTGCTACTTCACCGAAACCGATATGCCCTGAGCTACTGGCTACTTCACCTATTTATTCTCGAACTGTAAACAAAGACTCCTTATTCATTCTCATTCACTGTCAGACTCAACCTCAAGCTCCTACTGATTGAACTCATTCTCCTTCCCTTCGCTACTTCACCTTCAAACACAATAAACAAGGAAACATTATTCAAAGAAGAATCTGTCATCATCCATTTATTCTTCTTCTTGAGATATTGATTCTTTCTCATGCCTGAACCTGAACCTGTCTATTGATTCTTGAACTGTAAACTAAGACTCAACGAAAGCAAGACAAGATTCTCCTTTTCCTATTTCTTCTTTCACAGTAAACTCGGGAAACTGGGGGATCAACTCCTTCACCTTCACCTATTGATTCAAACACGAGGTAAATAGGTTCAGTAACTCTTTCTTTTCTTTCACTCGGTCTCTTCTCTTCTCTTTGCTTTTCTTTCCTGTAAGGGTTCTGGAGCAAGCCTGCTTCGGTAGCGATAGTAGCTTCAAAGGAATTGAATTGTTTGTTAGTATGTCTTGAATAGGGAAAGCATTCAAAATCTATGAACTCAACCCACGTCATATGAAAGAGCTTGAACAATGAAAGGCTTGACTGAAGAGTTCGATCTGGTTTTCTTTTCTCTTATAAATAGGGAGTGTTTGAATTTCCTTTGTTTGTTGACCGCAGTGCCGATATTTTGCTGCTTTTTTTTGGCTTTTAATTTGCCTCAAAGTTCCAGAGTTGGTCCGATCCCCCTTTCCATTCTTTCACTGACAAAATCTTGAAATTTGACTTAACGAGAAATGACTTCGACTTGACTTTAGAACAATTAATCGAACGGGTAAGGCTAAGATAAGGGCCTGTTCATAATCCCTATTCAAATTGCTTGCTTGACTGATTAAGAGAGTTTGGATGGGAGAAGAGTCTTTGATGACGAAACGAAGGTACAAAGTGTATTTCTCATGGCCCTCCCAATAAATCATTTTTTTGCTATAGGAGCATAAACACTAACCATTTTCTAGTAGGCGCCGGTAAAACAGGTTTGATTCATTTTCCACGTGGGGAAGCATAAAAGGAAAGCGGTCCCTTACCTTCCCTGATTTAAGGCTTTAAGGCGGTGATAGGCTAAGAGAAAGAGATTCCTCTTGCTTGGTGGAGGACAACCTCGGGAATGAATGGACATGACCTTTCGTATACTAGGATTGAAGAGCCAGGGGGAAAGCCTTAACAGACCAAGGTTAGCTAATCATTCCATTGATAAGGCGTGCGGTGATTGATATAGGGTCAGTCAGTGTGCCGGTTCTCCGAATCATAGAGGGGGTCTTTCCATTAGTCAGGGATATACTTGGTTGGTATCCAGATTCACCTGGGGAGGAATTTCTTGGATGTCGAGTCAGTTCGAAAGCTAGTCCCCACAAGAGCATAAACAAAGCGAGCAGGGCCAGTAGTAGATCCAGGATCAGTACCCTTCTCAGTTCTATACCCAGCAGGAGCAGCAGAAACGAAGGTTGAAGCATCACTAGAGACATAGGTGGGAACATATATATTATGATCCACCAGTAGCATCTAAGTAAGTTGCATACCTTCCTGCAGGCGCTTCAGTCCTTTCTGTTGATGGAGCAGTTAATTAAGCACTTGAAGTTGACCAATAGTGATGCTGGTAGATCTGCTACCTACGCCTTTGCTTGCCTTTCTGCTGATACCTATAGCTTTCCCCCTTTGCCGGGTGGTATCGCTCTCTAAATGCTGGGTCTACTGTTGCTGAAACTACTTGTTCAGGGTAAACCATAGGAACTACTGCATCTGTCTCTGCCACTGATGGATCATATGCAGCTCTAGCCTCTGCTAGCTCTAAGTAATCTATTTTCTCTCTATTTTCAGGTCTGCAAGAGAGCTGATGTTGGTATTCGAGCTAAAGCTCCTAGAATCACTCTCGATAAAAGGCACTCGAGCAACTAGCTTCTGTTATTTCAAACAGCTAAGACTGGTATTTACCCTTATGGCATTTAACTGACATTCTACCATTGAAAGAGCGGATACTTGCATTCGAACTGATACAAAGATTGAAGAATTCCTGGTACTAGTCGTTCTTTCCTTTTTAAGAGAGAATGTTAAAGGCAAGTAAAGAACTAAGACAAAGCAGCAATAAGACAAGTTTAAGACAACCGGCGGTAATGGCACCTTAGAAAAGAAGGGGGTATACCCTTCAACACAAAGCTTATGGAGATTGAACTGGCTTTGTTAGTGAGAGCTAGCTTTAAGGCTAACTAGCGAGTAGTTGCATAAATTAGTCAGTCACTAGGTTCAGCAGTATATTGTTTTGATCCAAACCCCGGGACTTCCATCCGCCATCAACAGGCCTAAGCAGGCCTAGTAGCTTTCATATTCCCGTATGAGTAGCCTTCTTTCTTACTTCCGTCTGTGATTTCGTGTCATTTTCAGTAGTTCCTTAGCTTAGTCAAGTAGGGATGGGGGGCTGATAAGCCGTAAACAAGCATTATATGAATGAATCCAGGGCGTCAGTCAGAATCTCAGTCTTTTCCAAGCCATCAGGTGAGGTCAATCTGATTATCTAGTCTTTTAATTAAGTGTTCTCTACTCGCAGCCTGACTTCGCTGCTCGGCCTAAGGAGAAGTTAGACTTGTCATCAACATTGGTAGCAGGGTTCTCTTTGGGTAAGTACCGAAAAATGGAAATGGAGTACGAACTGTTTATGTAGGAGTAGTTAAGAAAAAAGCTGTGATTGGTGATGGTCAAGATCATACCAATAGGATAACTTTCTTCTCTTATTCACAATTTCTAGTTAGAAAAAGTTTCAGCGTAAAAAGACTATACTAGCAGCGCTTATTCCAAGATGGATATTGTTGCACTTACTGATTCAATCACAGCAGATACGCATTCAATTGCAAACAGAACACTGGTTAATTAAACTGTTAGCAAATTTGTGCCCCTAGCGGCCTAGTCTGACGTAGCTGATTTTAGACCAGCCGATGAAATTGCAGCTACTTCGAAAAGCCTATGTTAGGCTATGTAAAGGGACCGACTTCCTAGAAAGGTTAATGCCCTAGGATTGGACTCATCCCCAGTTTCCATAGATGGAGGGGCGAACTCCTCAACAAAAGAGGTGGCATCTCCTTCTACTTACTTTGGATACTCACTCAGGCCTTTAAAGGGAAAATACCGAAACGAGTTTGAGCGGATCATCCAGGTCTTCCTTCTTGGCCTTGGAAGTTCCAAGGTCTATCTTTCTAGTAAGGCTGGACGTAATATCTACTTCCCCTTGTATTTGGAGTGAAGTGGGATGTGAAAGGTACAAAGAAAAGTGAACCGTAGGATCTCGTCTGACTTACTACACACCTAACGTCCGTCAAAGCTCAAAAATCCTCCTACCACGGCTACTAAACCAGATCCGTCTCCATTAGTTCTAGTTTCAGTGCCAGCAACCATCTCATTCAAAAATACAGCTACGTTTAAGTCACCATCTACATCAGTGCCAGAGAGAGCTCCGGCTTCTTACAAAGTGATATCGCACAAGGAATTGTGTCACATCCGCTGGGTTTAGCAATCTCTCTTATTGGACAAAAATATGGCTATGTTCCTTCCTCTGGATATGAAAACAAGTAGTCTTGCTGTGTAGATCGGTTCCACTTACGGCTGGGGAGAGTGAAGAACCTTCTGCCGTCTTCCTTCTAGCAGTATTCCTTTAAGCCTTATCCATATGAGGAGATGTAGATGATGGAAATGGAGCTATAGAAGATATAGGAGAGCGCAAATAGCTTTCTATGGGGAAGGTGATGTCTTATAAGGACTAGCCCTCTAGCCTTCTTGCCTTCTAGGAGATGATAAAGCAGTCTTAGTCCCATCATCACCCAACGTTCTACTTTCTGCTCTGTCAGCAGCATCAGATACAACAACTAGAAGCGAACCTCTCAGTAAGCCTTGAAGAGCGAATTGTCTTAGGACGACTTGCTTCCTTCTAGTAAGATTCTGTCTTTCCTTCTTTCTTTAGGGACCTCAAGTGCTACCTATTTCTCGGTTATCTTTTGATTGATTCATTCCTTCCACCTGGTTTTGAAGAAAGAGAATAAGGGAATAAGACTGTGACTTAGCGTCAAGGCCAATAGCCATACCAAAAAGCTGTCCCCAGAACAACCAAACCCACCACCATTTACTGCATTGATCCCAAACTTCTTTTTTGATTGATGGAGCATTTCCTGGTCCAAACCTTGGAATTTGCGAATGGATATCTTAGTAAATTGAAGAAGTGCTGGGCTCAGACTCAGTTGTGATCAATCTTCAAGTTCGATTCATTTTCACGGGAAGAGTTCAACCTCAATACCGAAAGTAATGGTAGTATAGGAAGAATCAGAGGATGAGAATGAGGAAGTAGAGAGCAACCAATCTTCTTGTTGTAGTGGAGTTGAGACCTTTATATCTTTCTTCTCGATTTCTCTTTCAGCGGTCTGAGAATAGGAGAAGAAGGAGGTGCCTTCCTGTCAAAGCATAGTTCTTATCCTTCTGGTAGCCAATCAGAATGAACCCAGAGCTATCGGTGACATCAGCCTTGATGGATAAATGAGCCTTGCTTTACTGACCTCGCACCTAGTAAGTTTGGCCTTTGTCGACATCGTTCAAGTCCACCCCAAAAAGAAAGGTCAATCGAACAAAAGATAAGAACTCTCTCTTCCTTGATAGAGCCGATTCTACTACCTCTTACCGGTTTACTGATCACATGCTGCTTATCAGAGTAGAAGCTGTATCACTAATAGCAGATGTTTGAACATCTTTAGGAGTTGAGTAAGAGCCCATCATCTCCTTCTTCAATGAGAGAGAACTCCACCCTACACGGTATGGTTTGTTACGGCATGACTCGGAATAGCAAGGTATCAAGTAGTTGATGTGATATCAAAAGAAAAGTGAGAGATTGGTAAAGTCAAGTGTTATAAGTATGGGTATGGAGGAAGCAGCCGAAGCAGATCCCTAAAAAGAAAAGATCAATCCTTCTGGTGTGGCTTAACATTAGGAAGTTCTTCTAGAATGTGCTTTTAGAGAGGCGTTGATCTTGCTCTTAGCCGCTATTCAGCTTAAGTCAGGGAAGGTTCAATCAGAGTCAGTCCATTCCAGTCCGTCCTTCCAAGCAAAGAAGCCAAGGAATAGCACGTTTGTGATCTAGTTCCTACCTTAACGCACTCCAAGTGTAGTTTCCAGTGTAGCAGTAGTTCCTTTCTTTTCAAGCCTTGCCAGCTGCTACTTTTCTTTCTAAGTCAGAAAGTCCTTTACAGGATCGAGCGTAATAAGTGTAACGTGTTTACCAGCAGGACTCACTCTTCTTTCAAGTCAAGGCTGTCTACCAGTTAGTTGTATTCATTCTGTCCTAATCAAAAGGATCCACTTCTCTGGGGTGTGAGAACTCCTTCTCATGAATAAACTATCTGCTTTAAAACAAACAGTCGATCGTGATAGGCTTGCAAAGCATATAGGCTACGCAGCCTTGTTCACCGGAAAAGCATAAGATCCTTGATTTCAAGGGAGTTTTCTTTACCAGACAGCTTACTGTTCCGGGAAAGCGAGAGATCTCATTGTCCGAGAAATGCTCTTTACTCTAGCGGGATCAGACTTTGAACAAGATAGCATCCCGTACTAAGAGAAGGTGACTTAGTCTACCCGAAGGAAAGTCAAGAGAGAAAGTGGGTACCGGCATGGTTAGAGGATTCGAACTGGCAGGATTGGTTTAGTGTTAGCAATTAGCATAAAGCGGTTATGCGACAGCTTGAAGAAAACTTCGATTCGTCATCACCGTTGCATCCAACCTCGGTCTTTTTTGCACAACACAAGGGAGTTAGTTGAACCGATTTCAAAGGCTTGATAAAGCTTTGGCATGACGTACGCGTGGGAAGGTTAGCAAGGGAAGGAGAAGACGACGATGGATGTTTAGTGCTATGGTCTGATGGAGAACTCGGATGAGAACGTTGGAGGAACAGAACTCATTGTCTCGTTACGCTTCGATGACGCTACAGATCTTGAGTCAGAAAGATGAGGGGAAAATGGCCGGCGAGGTCACTTTCTTATCCGAAAAGGAATGCCACTAGTTACACTATCAGCTTGCTTCTCCTAATGCCAACACCAAGAAGAAGGTCGTTTACGCGCTTAACTTGCATTGGCAACATCGGCCTATCTATATCCAACGTGAGAGACCAATTGCCTTAGTTAAAAGAGAAGGAAGTCGTTCTGGAGATTTCTAAGTAGAATTCGAAATCCCAGCGATTACCAGGTGACCCATTAACTAATCTTTCTGACAACTACTAAGCTTCCTAGGTGCCGTGTGAAGCTGCTACCCGGAAAGACCAATCAATGGTTGACTCTGAAATGACACGTTGAAAGTCTTGTAAAGGAAGAAAAAGCGCTGCTATTCTCTAAAAAGAACCTTCCTTCTATACGAAGAGACTCTTCCTAGTTCGTGCTACTTTAGAATACATCTACACCGAAGGAAATATTGAATTTCATTGTCCTTCCTGGCTATGAAAGAATACTCAAATATGCCTGAAAGATCAAAAGTCAAACAATCAAGGTAGGGATTGTTGGCTTGGAACTCGAGTAGTCTCCCCTCATACACCGGGAAGGCTTCTAGCTTCTCTGCCTGAAGGAGCTTTTGACAGTGAGTTGAAAGTCTTAGTGAGAAGCCCTCTCCTATCTAGGACTATTTCCACTCTTCTCTGAGTGCCAAAAAAATTGTGCTAAGGTAGCGCTCATAGCGAGAGCTCAGCTTACTATTATTCCTACCCTAATGTGTCAATAAGAGAATAGGAAGTACAGGTCAGCAAGCAAGCATAGCTAGATCTAAGGTATCTGGATCAGAAGGTATATCCTACCCCACCAACCCTTCTTGTTCTTGGTTCTTTTGTGCTATCTTTCTATCCAGTTTCCAGCGTTAATGTAGAAAAGGTGTAGAAAGAAGGATTATCAGATTTGATGAAGTTATTTAGCTTGAATCAATCTTTCCTCATTTTAAGGCCCTCTCTCTACCGAGCCTCTCTGAGTGCTTGCTGTGCTAGGGGTTGTATTCCCCAGAAGCCTCCAGGTATTCCCCGTGAGTGGGAAAAGACTTTCTAA